ATTGATTGTATATTATTTTACTCCTCCATTTTCTTTTGTTAACTGTTACATTATAATATATTTTGCCAATAAAAATATTAAAAATACTAATTTATTTATTGTATCGAGTGATTATAAAATCTCCATGAACCCATCCAAATCTCTATACCTGATTTTAAGCGTACTCAGTACACATCCATTTTTTTATGTTTGCCTCACACATAAAAAAACAAATTTTGCAATATTTTGCATTATATTGCGAATGTTGCATTTTATTTTACTTTATACCTCCTTGGATCTTATGTTTTTCTGATACATCGGAGAAAATTTTTCGATGTTTTAAGTTAAAAATGACCTTGAGCGCGAAAATCCAACGTTTACGATTTATTTTAAGTAGGTCGACCTTGAATACAAGGCCATTAGTTTTACATTTCAATTTTGTGAAAATTTTCATGGTCACGTTTTTTCAACCAAGGTCGACCTTGTTTACTGTTTACGCTAAGTAGGACGACCTTGTATATTTTACCTGGCACACATTTTATTTTCGCGGGAACCCAATGTTGCATTTTATTTTATTTTTATTCATTTTTTATTTTATTTTACTTTATACCTCCTTGGACTTATGTTTTTTTAATACATAAGATCAAATTTTGAACTAAATTTAATTTTTTTAGGTAGAAGGGTAGAAAAGTGGAATATATGTTGAAAAAGCTCCGACAAACATCAGGACGAATTGTCGTCATAATAATAATAATTTAATAATAATAATAATAATAATAAGCGGCATACCAGAATGCCATAATTGGAATGGGAAAATACATAGAATCTTATTAAGAGGACCCTATGTCAGCCTAAGTCAAGTCATACATACGGAAGAAAAAATTACAAAAAAAGGAGTACTGAAAAGGACAAAACAAATCGTCCAAGAAAACGAGATAATGGAAGAAGGGCCATTTGCAACTTATAATAGCAAAGCCCAATCTCAGAAGAAATTATGTCAATTCTCCATTAGAGTATATGCTGAGAATATGAAATGGATGGATTACCCAAGGTACAACCACATTCCAAGCCCGGTTACGGCAGTAGGTCCATGCACAGTTCTGCATGATCAACAAATCCACACTGACAAAACTGTGCCAGCTAACAAACCGGATATCATCCTCAGGCCTAATGCGGAAAAATGGTGTAAGTTAATTGAGGTATCCATGCCGGCAGAAAAAAACACCACAGCCAATAAAGCAGAGAAAAATCTGAAATATAGAAATTTGGAAATTGAAATAGCCAGGATGTGGGGAACAAAAACATAAACGATTCCGGTCATCGTGGGAGCATTGGGAGCCATGCCACATTCAATGAAAGAAAATTTAAAGAAGATTTTGAAGAACCTAAAAGAAGAAACCATCCAGGAAATGGCACTTTGTGGGACGGCCCACATTCTTCGGAAAATATTATAAATATCACCACCGAAATTCGAGTATTTTTCTCTAAGGAATCGGGTACAAACCTGGGGTAAATGCTTAAAAACCCCTTAGAAATAAGAGCCTTGTCGTGTTTAAGAATGACCATAATAATAATGATAATGATTTTTTTGCAGTCGATTTAAAAAAATTGAAAATAATAAACGTGAGATTGTTTTGTAAACGTTGAAGATTTTTTTTTCATTTTTATTATTATTATTATTATTAATAAAAATTACCGTAATGATTTCGATGAAGTACATATCTTAAGTCGGAATTAAAGGGGGATAGGAAGGGAGGGGGAAGGATAGAAAAAATAATTTTTTTTTTTTTAAAGGGCTCGGGAATAATTTATTAAAGTAATAATCTGGAACGGACAACCGGGATCGTTGTTCCATAACAACAATTCTACCGACTTACCTTGTAAATTTTATTTATTTTTTTATATATAAATCATTATTATTATTATTATGGTAACGGAAATGAGTTTAAAAAGTTATTATTATTATAATTATTATCATATATTTTTCGTTAACCAATTATCATTTTTTCCAGGAAAAAAAAAATTACAGAAAAAAAACAACAATTTCTCCATTTTTTTCCCTTCGATTTTTTTTACAAAAATTTTTTTTTCTATTAATAATTAAATTTTTTTACTTGGAAAAATTCTAAACGTTCCATGAAAAACCTGGAAAAATATTTTTTTAAAAATAAAAAATAAAAATAAATTATGTAAACATAATGTATTTGTGATATAAAAAAAATTTTCGGAATTATTTTTCTAATATAAAATTATCATCATTATTATTTTTTGATTAAAAAAAAAAAAAAAAGAAAATGTCGGTGGCACTATAAAAAAATTTAATTTGTAAAATTTTAAAGTTAATAATAATAATAACTCTTTTTTTTGGAGAAGATGAGAGAACTTATACACATACAAATTGGACATTGTGGTAACGCAATCGGAACGCAAGTTAGTGATAATTTCTCCATGATTTTTTGGAAATTATGGAAATTTTGGAAATTTTTAATGTTAATTTTTTTGTTTTAGTTTTGGGAAATAATTTGTAGAGAACATGGAATTGGTGAAAATGGCGCTTTCATTGGTAAAAATAAAAGTTTCCTGGAAAGATTTAGCGTCCTATTCAACGAAACCAAAGGTGAGAAATGAAAAAAAATTTTCCGTCCGAGTTTTTTTATTATTATTATTATTATTGTTATCATCACGAAAGGATTACATTACACGCCGAGATCCGTCATGATAGATTTGGAAAGATCATCTATCGATTCGATAAGATGTTCACAATTCGGTGCCATTTTCAAACCGGATAATTTTATCTTTGGAAGTGAAGGAGCTGGTAACGTATGGGCCAAAGGTCATTTCGTAGAAGGTGCGCAATTGTGCGAAAATGCATTGAACGTAATAAGAAGAGAAGCGGAAAGTGAGTCGAAAGAAAGTATTTCCGGTTCGTATAAAAGAATGATTTTAACGGTTTTGTTTGTTTGCCATACAGATTGCGATTGTTTTCAAGGATTTCAAATAGTACACGGTTTGGGTGGTGGTACCGGTTCGGGTTTGGGATCACTTTTGGTAGCGAAACTTCGAGAAGAATATTTAGAAAGAGGAGTTTGCACGTATAGCGTCGTACCATCACCCCTACTATGTAACGTCGTAGTCGAACCTTACAATGCCATTTTCACGTTTAATCATTTGATTGAATACAGTCATCAAACATTTTGCATGGACAACGAAGCTTTGCATAACGTATCGACGAACGTTTTGAAATTAAGTCATCCATCTTTCGATCATTTAAATTCACTTGTCGCCATGGTTATGGCTGGAGTTACGGCTCCAGTAAGATTTGCCGGACCCTCAACGACCGATTATAGAAAGTTAAGAGTTAATTTGATACCATTTCCAAGGTAAATTTTCCCCTTCTTCTATTTTTTTTCGTCCTTTTTCGGCATCGTGTTCTCTCTCCCCACCCCTCCTACCCCACCCCCACCCCAAAAAAAAAAAAATTTACGTAACAAAAATTTAAAAGTTAATAATTGATTTTTTGGAAATAAGAGAATGGAGGATTTAATTATGAGAAAATATAATAAACTTTTACGAAAAACCTTTTAAATAATAATTATTATTATTATTATTAAAATAAAGTTATAAAAACCGATGAAATGTGGATCAATTTACCGAAAATCTTAAATTTACGGGGGTGGGAAGGGGAGAGAATTTTTTTATTAATAGTAAATTGACCGAGAGTAGAAAAATTTTAATTTTTTTGGATAAAAAGTTTTTTAATTAAGGTTAATAAAATAATAATAATAATTTTTTTTTTTATTATCAGGCTCCATTTTTTTATATCCAGTTTTGCTCCGCTAACGTGTAGAGAAAGTCTTTCCAGTAGAAAATTAAACATTCAAGAAATAACAGCACAAATATTTAACCCGCAAAATATGCTCGCTGCTTGTGATACTAAAAAAGGAAAATATTTAACGGTTGCTTGTTTGTATCGCGGTACGCTTTCAACAAAAGAAATAGAACAACAAGTTTATAACATTCAACTTAAAAACAGGTACGATGAAGGGAACAAGAAGATTTAACAAACAAACAGCAAACAAATCGTTAATTATTATTATTTTTGTTTAAAGTTCACAATTTGTCGAATGGGTACCAAATAATGTTAAAACGGCCGTTTGTGCCGTACCTCCTATCGGTTTTCAAATATCGGCAACTCTAATAGCAAACACAACGTCCATTCGCGAATTGTTTCGAAGAGTTCGCGAACAGTTTTTAACAATGTATAAGAAAAAAGCATATTTGCATTGGTATACTGGTGAGTAATATTTGAAATATATAAAAACTCAATGGGGAAAAGGGTGAATAAAAGGAAACAACAACCCTTTAATAAAAATTTATTATTTTTAATAACCACGTGGAAAAACGACGCCTTTAAAGAATAATTTTTCCTATAAATGACATTTTGTAAATGCCAAAACTCAATTAAAATGTTAAATTAATTTTATATGAATGATCATTTTATACAACCCTAATATACTTTGATAGTTGAAGTTTCACAAAGGCTGAGAGAAAATTCATAAAGTATGAGGGGAAAAAATTTTTTTTTGACTTTTCCAGGTGAAGGAATGGAAGAAATAGAATTCAATACGGCAGAAGCAAATGTAAACGATTTGATGTTAGAATATCAAGAAAACGAAAATTTAACCGCTGGAAAATCTAAAGAAAAATAAAAAAACTAACACATATTCCTTCAAAAAATGTTTTTTTGTTGCGTATTGACAATGTTTTTTATTTTTTTTCCCCCCCTTCGGCAAATAAATAAAATTTTATATGTTATTGTTTATTAATTAAAATAATAATAATAATGATAATAAATCAAACGATTTAGTTTTTACGTTGTAATTTCGACATATATATATATATAAATAAATCACATTTTAAATTGTTGATTTTTTATGACGACGATAAAATTAAATGAAACGTATAAAAATATAAACGTATAAGAAAAACTTAACAATAATTAAAATTTAATTACTCTTTCACAATCGATAATGTTAATAATAATAATAATAATAAATAAGTAATTATAATAATAATAATAATAATTAAACTCATATAATTTAATAAAAATAAAAATAAAATATATATATTTACTTGTTTTGTTTATCACGTGAAAATTTCCCCAGTTTTTGTTTTGATGACGCGTCACGCGTCACGTGACCCGTGTCACGTGACCGACGGCCATTTTGTTTTTTTTTTATTTTTGAAAATATTCCGTAATGTTAATATATACAGTACATGTGACGCGATTAAAAATTTTTTTAAAATAAATTTTACAGAGTTAACGAATTGAATTTTAGTTTTTGAATAATTATAAATTAAAATTTAAATGGAAAAAATAATAATATAGATAAATCGATCGATAAATCGATTCGAAAGTTAAAAAAAAAAATTTTAAATGAATATCATCAATGACGATGGACGCCATATTTAGGAAAAGTAAATTAAGTATAATAATTTTTATTTCAAACATATTTTTATCAAAAAAAAAAAAAAAAAAAACATATTGAAATTTTTAAATATTCTCAGAGAGGAGAAGATTAGTATGACCTTTGACCCAGTTTTCAAAAAAAAAATTCTTTAAAAGTTTTTTTAATGTTTTTTTTTTTTGTTATTTTCAGGGAGGAAGTGTAATAGTCAAGAAGTTAGTTATTAAAAAAAAAAATTTTTTTTACGACTGGAATCCTGGAAAAAAAAACTGGAAAGACGAAAGGAAGGAAAGAAGAAAGGAAGTAAGGTTTTAAAGGTACGAAATAATATTTTGATTAAATTTCAAATACAACAAACAGATTTCATTGACGTGGAAATTTAAGAAAAAAAAAAATCAATAATAATATTAAACGTTTCGGTTAAATTGATTTTAAAATCAACGGATTTTGACACTTAAAATTTCTTTTTTTAAACTACAGTATACGTAATTAAAACAAACAAGCGAACAAACAAACAAACATAAAAAACGATAAAATCTCCAGACTTTACTTACTTACCTGCCACGTTGGACAAAAAAATCATATTTGATGTATGTATATTTATGTAAAATTGAATCGAATGTTACAAAACCAAAAAAATATCAAAAACGACAGCAACAACAGCAGCAGCAACAACAACAAACGAAATCAATACAGAGAATATAATAATAGAAAATACAAAAAAAAAAAAATATACGAATCGGTTGGAAAAAAAAATTGGTTTCCGTCTGTCTGATTTATGAGAAACGTAATTGATCAATTGATCGATGATCCAGTTTTTTTTATTTATGAATTTAATTCACTCGATTTTATATATATATATATATATATTTTTCTTTTCTCCAGTAGTAATACTAATTCCAGGAGCGGTTAAATTTTCTCCAAAACGGATATATATTTTTAATAATAATTTTTTTTTTTTAAATTCAATTTCCTCCTCCATTTTTTTTTTTTTTTGT